GATCATACAAACTTAATCATTGAAAAACCGCAAATGGTGTTTTTTTTTCTTTTAGTTTTATCAATAATTCAACGGGGACTAAACGTGTGGGCCAAATTATTATGATGTGATAATCCATTTAGAACAATCTAGTGGCACTGCAAGCATTTTCCTTCTCTAGTGTGTTTGATGTGATTCTTTGGCTATCTAAAGACATTGCTTGATACTGACCATATAAATTTTACCATTGACGCAACAACTGGAAAAAACTAAGTTTCAAGGGGGAATGAGAAGCTTACCATTGTTTTAAGACAGTCCCAATCGTCCACAAGCGGTTTTCCAGAACGCCGAACTTTATTTAGCACTGCAGGACCTTGTGAAATGCCAAACAAGAATTTCCCAATTAATAGAACGCTATTATCGACGTGAAGTCTGTGAGACATTACTTCAAGGAGTTGCTTTTGAGCTTCCACTTTTCTTGCGGAACCTTCTGGTGCCTTTCGATACTACAGGGGAAAACAACTTGATAGGTTAAGTAATCAGATGCAATGTCAAAAATTTATTGTGTCCTTAGATTTTACCGGAGGCCAAAGAAAATAAGATATACCTTATCCCAAAAATGGACAAGATCTGCGTCACGCTGGTTTGTAACTTTTGAAGACATCCTTAGTAAATTCTCATCCACAAAGGTGAAGTTTTCATTGGCTGGGTTTGTGCCCATATAAAGGACAAGCTTCTCTGTGCTGAGTCCTAAATCTCCATACTCCATGACATGTGAACCATAAGACGAACTAGAACCAGCAGTCCTCCTTTTAACCTGAAACAATAAAATCATTTTAATGCATGTTCACTCACCATCTCAACAAAGATGAAGCAGTCTTAGACAAAAACTTGAAGCAAGCTTACCAGTTCATATTGTTGGTGCAAACTCTCTGTCTGTAAATTATGTTTATCACTGTGCATTGAAAACAAAGAATAACAAAGAAATTAGAAACATATATATAGAGATACTCATCCATAATAGTCCTACTCTTATTGTCATGTTATAATAGTTCTTTAGCACCTGTCTTCCATCCAAGCAACACTGTACAAGTCACCCAAACATGTCTCATACTCGGAAGGAGGACTAGGATCCTCTCCAGGACAATAAGTACCCCAACTACTTTCCTCTGCGTTTGATGCAGTTGTAGCATAAATGTTTAAACCATCTTGTAAAAGACCTTCAAAAATACTTCCTGATTCACAAGCCTCTAAATAAAACACCTGCATTCACGAGAGAAGCCGGTTAAGCGAAATCACATGCAACTGAAAAAGAAAGCATTTTAGAAGAATCTTGCCACATTGTACCAAGCTCTTATAGGTTCCAGAAGCATGTTTTTTCTTCAAGACATCATTGAGATCATTCGCATATAGGTGTGGAGAAGTTGGCATCCCTGCAAATAAAACATGGATACTAAATGATCAAACTTTTGTCCAAACAAAAAGAAAAAGTTCAATATTTAAGAGGAGAAACGGAATTGGGCGGAACTGACCAAGCACTCCCGGACCGCCGTGATCACTATAATATATGAAGATATGATCGTTTGGAACACTATCTACAACCTTCCCACTTCCCCCTTTAAGAGCTGTTCTATTTCCAAGGATCACAGCAAATAAGTTATCAACGTTAACATCTTCGCCAGTGTAATCCTGCAACAAGCAAATCTCCAGTGTAAGTTGTTTGGTGATAACTCAATGGTCTGAAAATCGCAGCTAAAAATCGAGAAAAAGCAAAAAGAACCTTTGGAACTCCATTATAGACATCCTCTCCATGAGGACTGTTAATAATGACTCCAGGCCTTGGGTTCTCTTTGTTCTTTGCAATATCATCATACATAAACACCACAATATTTTCCTCTTTTAACCCACCTTTCTTTAGAAGCTGATAAGCATGACAAACATCCGCCTGCAAAATTTAACAATCTATTCATTACTCTCTACCAAATTAACTTAATCTTTCATTCTCTAAGGTACAGCCAAAATAGTTTTTAAAACTCATTGACCGTAACATGTAAAAATCATACAGCTCTATATATTGGGCTGTAAAAGCTGTTATTTCAAACCAAAATCACACAAATATATAAGAAGGAAATCATACAGCTCTATATAGACTTTTTGTTATGATTATTTATTAAAGAACTCATAAGAAGGAAAGGTATTGAAAGAAAAAGTATATTGAAAGGATTCAAAAGTAAGACACTAAGACTACAATGAATCTATAGGTAAAATAAAAATTATAATGAATTATTTTGTCATTCACCAAAGTAGTTTTTATACTTTAGTTATATAACCTGCAACTATCTAAATCTAAAATGATGCTTTTGAATTTTAGTTATGTACATTTAATAATAATTTCGAGGTTCATTCATTATTGCATCGAAAATAACATAAGTTTCTAGAAACTATATTTTTTGATGTACTAATACAAAACATTTTTACTTTCATAAAATTAGTCTTTTTAAAAATACAGGAAATCACTTATATTCACTACAAAAAAGGTGGATTGTGTCATTTATTTTATTAGTTTACATCATTTTTTTATTGACACAACTAAAACTACATTATTTCTGTGAGTGATTCTAAAAATGGTGACTCTAATATTTTGTATCAATAAAAAAGACCGATACAAATATTTTTATCGTTTGTTANAATTGATGTCAATATGTATCACTTATATAAAATGAANCTAATCTTTACATCAATTTGTATAAATGATGTAAATATTTGTTTCGGTTATAACAAATGATGTTAAATATTTGTTTAAGTATAACAGTTGATGTTGAA